TCTTCTAATGTCAGCCAGTATTAATACTCTTCTAATGTCAGCCAGTATTAATACTCCTGTAATATCAGCCAATATTACTACTCCTGTAATGTCAGCCAGTATTACTACTCCTGTAATGTCAGCCAGTATTACTACTCCTGTAATGTCAGCCAGTATTACTACTCCTGTAATGTCAGCCAGTATTAACTGATGAAACCAGTATACACAGCAGACGATATACGTATGTAAGTGCGTACTTAATATTAACAACACATTTCAGATTTATTTTCGTTTGTTTCATAATTAGTTCATCACTATTTGAAATATTAGAATCGAATCGTAACACCTTCAAATTCTAACCTTTTCGAGGCGCATCCAACGATTCGTTATTCTTATTGTGTGTATATTTAAGTGGTTATAATCTTGCCATAAAATGTTTACAGATAAATTTCTTTTTATTCTGCCATCTAGCGGTGCTCTTTGGAAACTGTGAGGTAACTGAGCAGTGCAAGACTCCCCATACGTCCTGTTCTACGAGTGGCAAGTGTTTATGTAATTTCGGCTACACTTTTCTTTATGGAGAAGGATGTGTTCAAAGTGCGTATTTCAGATTTCATATAGAAACTCGTATGAAAAGGATAATACAGTTATATGCAGTAATTTAAATAGTTTTGTTTTTGTATTTATCCATTATTTCAGAAGTGGTTCACAAATAACAATGAATAAAATGCTTTTTTTTTCTGTACAGATCCTAACAAATCCACGAAAGAAAAGAACGTTTACATGGCTGTTCTGGTAGTCATGACGATCATTATGTTTATAGTCGTGGGGATCATCATCATATTCCTGGCAAGACGGTATGTTATCTTTCACAAATGAAACACATACGTCGGTTTTTTTTTTGCTCGGACCAACAGTAAAACATCTTATTCAATATTCTGTAACTATTTTCATCTGTGTAGGAATACACTTTTAAGCTGTTAAGAATAATTCGCCTTTATTATTATTATTACTCTCTAAGAATTAAGAAGTAATAGTAGCTAACAATAAATTAAAAAGAAAAGATGCGTATTGTTACGGTGTAAACGTCTTTTAGAAGCTGGCGAAACCAAATTATAAGTGGCCCGGCATGTGACGTCAGACTTCATTACCAGACACGTTCTATGATATACAAGTAGTTTAACGTAACACACATGAAGATATTTAACGACTGCCGTTTGTTTGTTTTTATCAGGGTTATCTGTTATGGTGGTGGTGGACAAAACAACGAAAGACCCAACGATACCTTAACTATTAACAATCAACCAGGATCTGTCCTGTCAGTTGATAAACCCCCCACTTATGAAGAAGTTATGGACCGAGAAGAAGAGGTAAGGTACCTTACGATGAGTATTGGTTTAACGAGTAAGGTAGATAAGGTACCTTACGATGAGTATTGGTTTAACGAGTAAGGTAGATAAGGTACCTTACGATGAGTATTGGTTTAATAAGTAAGGTAGAACCTTACTCGTTAAACCAATACTCATCGTAAGGTACCTTAACCTTACGACGAGTATTGGTTTAACAAGTAAGGTACCTTACGATGAGTATTGGTTTAACGAGTAAGGTAGATAAGGTACCTTACGATGAGTATTGGTTTAACAAGTAAGGTAGAGAAAAGGCGACGTTATTATATCACTGATTTAATGATACTGAATTATGTAGCTTAACTTGTTTTAAGTAACGAAAAACTTTCGTACAATCTAGAAAACAAACGAAACATTAATTAGTGTCACTCTTCTAAAAAATATGGAGTACAATCCACGGACTATTTCTTATTCAATTATAGTCCAAAAGTGTAGTCCACAAGGTAAACGTTTCTTGCTTGATTGTATGTCATTCTTGGAGTACAAGTCCACAGGGTGTTTCTTGTTCGATTGTAGTCTAGTCTTCCCGGAGTACAAGTCCACGGGGTG